GACCTAAGATTAAGAGAAATAAGGGTTTGATCCCGATATTTATTTTTCTCCCATTTATGTATCATAGATTTCCAGGGGGATTTTTCAGAATGATAGATTTTATATGGAATTCCCTTCCACTTTTTCTCTAGAGCAATGCTATGATACTCGAATCGATTTTTTTGACACCTTAATCAATTTTGAAAACTGATCTATACTTCTGTCACTTTCTTTTTTCTCTATATTTGTCAAGTCATGTTGTCCATCATAGAGACTACTACAGGAAAGAAATGTGTTCCTTCTGTAAATAATAGAAAGATGATTGAATTCACATGATGGCAAAAACTATGTATTGGTAATATACTCCGTTATTTGTCGATTGAAGAACAAACAATAAAAATATTAAAATATTGAGAAGTTTCCATGAGAATATGGTAAAAGTTTTTTGAAATCCTTTCAAAAAAGAATAAATAATATCAAGCACCTACTAATAATATACATAAAAGGATCACAGAATCAGTAAACATAAAAAATTCAACCAAATTGATTCAAGAATATCTATCGAAACCAGTTAGCTAACCACCAACATTCTCACATTGGGGTGGTGGCGCAGTTGGCTAGCGCGTAGGTCTCATAGCTGGGAGCAATCCTGAGGTCGAGAGTTCGAGCCTCTCTCACCCCAATACTTTTTTCTTTTTTTGCCCCCAACCTTAAATGGTAACCCTAAAATGTTAATGCATGCGGAGTGACTCTTACCTCAATATAAGTTCCAGATTACCTTCTTTATTATTATTTTTTTCCTCAACCTTAAATGGTAACCCTAAATTGTTAATTTGGAGTGACCTTTACCCCATATAAGTCCCAGATTTCCTTCCGATGTGAGACTCGTTCGACTATATATATGTGATACCGAGAGAGAGCCAAAAAAAAAAGTGTATAAATTCGACAGAGAGAACCATTTTTTGTTTTTTTGGGGTAAGTTAGGAGCCAACTTTTACAATCTAGACTCTGCATTTTGAGGCCTTCATTGATTATTTTTATTTTGTTAACATTGTTCTTGTAACAATCATGAAAACAATTAAGATTGTGAAAACAGAATCGAAAATCACAAGGGCCAAAATTGATCATAAATTTCCATACATTCAAATCGAACGGCTACGAATTCATCAAATATTAAATAGAATTGACAACTAATTGTGTATGTAACCAAAAAGATTGGATCGCTGACCTTCTCGGAGAGATCGGCAATGACAAGATGTCAAGAAAAACTCGGTTACCGGTGAATTTGAAACCATCAGAAAAAATTTCTCTCTCTAGATTACTCGGATCGCCAGAAATTGAATATTCTCTCTCTATTATGTGGTGTATAAAACCCTATAAAGAAAGAAGTAGCGGGAGATAATGAGTCAATTAGTACGATATGCGAAGAGATGATTCTATACAGGGCGGGAAAGGCAAACGGTTTGATTCAAAGGACTAGCGGTGGTGTTCCTGCGAAATTACAATTGTGTCCCTACTTCATAAGGCCATTTCGGTCCAACTAATAAGACGGCCCATGGACATAGAACATGGGGGCCCACGACGATGTTTGGGGTTGGGAATCCAGTGGGTTAGTCCCTCCAGTGAATTTTGTAGTGTCAGGCTTTAACTCTCTGTCTTCTAATTTTAGAAATTAACTTTAATTGTGTTTGGTGGCAAAAAAAAAAAATTTAATTAAAAATTAAAATAAAAAGACATGCTTTTCAAGGGAAGAGATTTTAGTCTAGTAGAGTTTTTCGCCAAATTTAAATTTGGAGTTTTGAATTATGTTAGCAAGTAGAGGTAAATAATTATAGAATGAATTTATTTATGAAAAAAAAAAGAATAATTATGAAAAGTGTTTTACATGTGCCGTTAAACATTATTTGATACTTCTTCACCTTCCAAAGTAAAAGGTCGAGACAACATAAATAAAAATAAATAAATAAATAAAACCGTCAAATATGACCGATGAGCTATTAATCTAATGGTGTAACCTCCTATCCTCAAATATATTTGGAATTATAATTAGAAATCTATTAAATGAATCTACTTACGGAAGTATGAAGAAACTAACTATGCAGCCCATTGGGCCTATAGTCTTGGTAGTGTGGGCTGACGCTTAAAAACAACTAGGCCCAAAATATCTAGCATGACATGCACTTAGCCTTTGTGAACCTATTTATCTTTGTATGGGCCAGAGCTGTTGATATGAATATAACCCAAAAGGCCAAGTACTATTTTAGTTCCTCCTCTTTTGTAAGATGGATCAGAGCATTTCATTACCATTTTAAAAGGCCCAACACCCTAAGCCCATTCCAATCATATAACCGGATCATCCAACTAGAAATCCGTCAAGGCAGTCGAAACCCTCCCGTCTCAAGTAGCATGTCCAACGATTGACACACTGAAATGTCCCTATAGTTCATTTTAGGGGCGAATAAGGGCATCTCGTTATTCATCATTAATGAGTTGATGAAAATACTAAAATATCCTTACTTTAATTATTTTTAAAAAAATTTCAAATCTTAGTTATTGTAAAATGACAATAATGACTTTTACCAAACGGTCTCTTTTATTTTTTTTTCATTGAAAAAGGACATATTCGGTATTTAATATAATAAATTAGTCATGTGCAACGTACATGATTTGTTAACGGTACTTTTCTAATGATTCACTATTAAAAAGATCTAATTTGTTACATTTTTAAAATTTGAAGGAATTTATATACCGAAGTAAAAGGCAGGAGTGTATTTGCTCAAAAAAATAAATTTTACGGGTATTTTAGATACTTCAACCTATTATCAATGAAAGGGATATCCAACCTCTTAAAAAACTGCTCTTTACCAATCAAAGTAATGCGTGTGATTGATCGGCCACAACAATGTTATGCTATTTTCTCCAATGAAACAAACATATGAGCTCAAAGGAAATCCAAACTCCCAATTTTCAATATTTTCATACTGGGTACTCCGTGTTATTTTTTGTCACACACTCACACAGTAACGTGTGAGTGTATATATATATATATATATAAGCATATATAGCCATCTTTCTTTTCACTCTCATAGATCCAAGAGCCGAAGCGTGCACGAATGCATGCGAGAGCCTATAGATATTATAGATCCCGACGGTGATGCGATGCTCTCATAACACACACACATACACACACTCTTTTCACGCTCATCATTGTTGCATCTCTAGACACGCCTTTAAACGAGGCATGCCCTCCACGCGTAATTCTACGGTGCATCCGCTATTATTTTAATCCGGTACTCCCAACCATTTCAACGCGTTGGTTTGGATGACCAATGTGAACACCCATTATACTAATCCCCCCTATGTACCGAATCCAACGGCTTCGAATATAGGTCAAACCTCTCACACATCACCAAGTCCTTTTCGGGGACACTAAAAAAATGGTCTTCCTTGTTTGTATGTGATGCGAGTTAGTGACCGCTTGATGGGGTTTGGACGGTTGTGATGCGGGTGGGTGTACGTACACGCGAGAAGGAGAGGATAGTTGTGGGATTGTGTCAGTGTCGTCAAAGATAAGACGGCGTGTTGAGTAAAGGGTGCGAGTCGCGTGAGAGCCTTTTGCTACTAAAGTCTGCAGTTGCTTACTGTGTAGAAGATTTTGTGGTCGGAATTCAAAGATTTTGTTTCTATTTTTTTATTACTTTTTTAATTATTGTCGTAAACATGACATTAGTGTGGATTGTTTAATCATTATTACAAAGGGAATTTTTACTTTGGCAGCTAATATTAAGGAATGAATGGGTTGAGCTGAGTATGATGCTTCGAGGGCATTTTTTACCCTGTTTTTTTTCCTATTTTTTTTTCTTATTACTTTTAATTCTTGCAAAAAACTTAGCTTTACCAATATTTGAACTATTGATCTCTTACATCAAAAGACAAAAATGAAATAATGAAAAGCCTTTAGAATATATTTGGCAACTGTGTTTCAGTTTTACGTTTATGTTTTTCTCCGAAACAAATTTATTTTTTTCTCATTATTTTTAATTCTTGCAATAAACTTAGTTTTACAAAGATTTTAATTATCGATCTCTAACATGGACAAACAAAAAAGAAATAGTGAAAAGCCTTTAGGATATGTTTGGCAATTGTTTCCATTTTACGTTTGTATTTTCATTTGAAACAAAAATAAAAGTTGTGGAGAGACTAGAGTGTTCAATGGTAATTGGAATTATGTTTGATAATGCAAAATTGAAAGCAAAAACATGAAACACTTTTGATAAAAAAATATTGCAAGATTGAAAAACAAAATGGTTAGAGAGTTTTTTTTTTTTTTTTTTTTTACTATTCACCACTATAGTGTTTTACTATAATTAACACAAAAACATCATGAAACACTAATTTAGTATTTTCCATTTGTGCCATTTTTGGGCAACAAAAACATTACTATTTATATTGTAACAAAAGTTACTATATGTGTTTCGGTGTTTTACTTCACGATGTTATAGGTACCATACGTAACAGGAAACATGAACAAAAGCGATTGCCCAATAGGTCCTTATGCTACATTTGGTGTGGAATAAACTGTCTATTCCAAGCATTCATTTGTTTGGTATGCAATTTAAACTGGGAATAACCATTTCATTAGAATGAAAATTCATTCCAAAATTCAATCTATGTAATGACCATTTCCTTTCTTAAGTACTATTTTTAAAAAAAAAATTAAGTTCCCAAAACACCCTCATGCTCCAAATCCAAAAACCACCACCACCACCACAACTACCACTAACTTTCATCATCACCACCACTTTCATTACCTTCCACCACCATCACTGCCACTGCCACCACCTTCAACCGCCACATCGTCGCCACCTCCACTGCCTTTAACCACCGCCACTGCCACCTCCACCTCCACCGCGCCCATCGCCACTACCGACTTCCATCAATGCCACCACCACTTTCACCATTACCACCACCACTGCCGTCGCCTTCACCATCACTGCCACCTTCCACCACCATTGTCGCCTTTAGCCACCGCCACTGCCACCTCCACCTCCACCGCGCCCATCGCCACCACCGACTTCCACCAATGCCACCACCACTATCACCATTACCACCACCACTGCCGTCGCCTTCACCATCACTGCCACCTTCCACCACCATTGTCGCCTTTCACCACCCTCACTGCTACCGTCACCACCGTAGCTGCCTTCCACCACCATCACGCCGCCGCATCCACTACTTCTACTGCCACCTCCACCACTACCACCATAGATGCTGCCACATCCACATCCACCTCCACCACCACCCCACAGCCACCGCCACCAATACTGACTTCCATCATTACCACCACCTCCACCGACTTCCATCACTCCCATCACCTTCCACCACCTCCGCCATCACCTCCACCTCCACCACCACCGCCACTGACTTCTATCACCATCACCACCATCGCCACTTGCTTCCATCACCATCACCACCACCACATTCCACCACCATCGCCACGTCCACCTCCACTTCCACCACCACCGACTTCCACCACTGCCATCATCTTCCACCACTGCTATCGTCTTCTACCACCGCTACCTTCCACTACAAACCTATACCATTGTTGTCTTTCACCACCACCGTCGCCTTCTAACACCACTACTACTTTCCACCTCCACCACCATCAACCACCGCCGCCATTTCTTTTTTTAAAAAAAAATTATAGAGGAATGTTATTTTATTAATTTAAATTATTTGTCACTTATAAGGGTATTTTGGATAATTCAATTTAAAATTCATTTTTTTCTAAATTTTACATTAGTCTATTCCTACAGATCTCATATTTGCAATTAAACAATAGAATGAAAATAATCATTCCATTTTCACTTGCATTTCATTTTATTTCTATGCACCAAACGATGCAGCATTTATAATGATGCTTTCAAACTTAACTGGGTAATTTTTATATTCAATCCCATCCCTAAGGAGGTAAATGAAAATATACAAAATTTCATTCCCAAGTAATGAATGGAAATCTGAGAGTCCAACACATTTGACTAATTTTATGGGGTAAAAACTGATGTCAGTATGACATTAGTCATATTAATGAAATTGTGATGATGTCCAACAAAATTCTCTAAATCAGTCGAACTTGTCAGATTTTCGGACTCCAAATCATTATTCTTATTACAAAAGTCAAAACCAAACTATTTGTTTATTAACAATTCCATACATTTGAAATTCTAATTAAGATTTTACATAAACACCAATATTTTACTTAGACACACTTAAGCTAATAAATTACAGAATGACCGAACAAATCTAACACTGATTAGACTTGCATTCATTTTAAGTCATGGCATTATTGTTGCAGAATCAGTAGTGACATCATGAAAAGCTCTTTTTTTTTTTTTTTTTTTTTTTTTTCTTTTTTTTTAAATCTTGGCAAGAAAAACAGCATGTCATACGGTATCTACAAATACAATCATAAACATCATACAAAGGTAAACAAATCAAGAAGTAATACAATAAAAATTGAAGAACAGGCCTTCGATTTGGTAAGAAACAAGCCAAAAAACACCAGCGGACCATTCAGGAAGAAGAGCAGCAACGGAAGTGACCCAAAGGTCATCATCAAGGCAACAGCTCCAAGGTTGCGTCCACAAGGCGCTACCGACTGGGGAAAAAACCATCCAAACCCCACACAAAAAGGCTGAGATACCAAAACCAGACATAGATCAGGGACTAGCTGGAGACAAAACACCACGTCCACCCTGTCAAGCCAAATCAGGAGCAGATCTATCAAAATCGCAGCAAAACGACGTGAAAGTACCCGCCGAGCGAGCTATTTACATCACGCCGAGTTTATTTATCGGTGGAAGACAAGGACCGGCCCCTCCTCACTCTCATGAGAGAGAGTGAGGGCAGAAAAGAAAAGATGAAGGGGAGGCTGCCGAGGATTAAAGAGAGGCCAAAGAAAAAAAAGTAGAGAGAAAGAAACGGGAGTGACTTGGTATCATGAAAAGCATTTAGTTGAAATTGCAAATAGTGACAAATATGAGAGGCCAAATACAATGTCACGTTCAATTACCCAAAAAGAAATACTGTGACTTCTTTAAGCTTCTTGGTACTTTTCTATGGCTCATCTTGGAAGTGGCATTTGTATTTTCTCTGCAGCTATTATATAGTGGGATGTTGTACATGTGACGAGTTGAAATATTGAGAACAGATTGAGAGACTTTGAAATAGGCTGATTCCAATCACAAGTCAAAGATGAACACTCATGGAATGTATGTAAATCTAGACTAAAAAGTGACCTTTCTTCTTTTCCTGGTTGTCATAGATGGACAAAGTGAAAATTAGTGACTTAAGAAAGGAGTGTTATTTTCCGATTGCCTGGAAGAAATAAAAGAAAGATCTTGTTGTTTCTTTAATAATTTTTGATTTTTAGTGGACCTCTACTATGATTTGAATCCAGCTGAAGTTCTAACCATCTATCAGAGAAAAAAGAACGAATGGATCTTGTAGGATTCTCAAAAAATTCTTCGATTTCTTTCAGAAGCTAACTCCAATAAATGCAAAAATTAGTAAGAAGGCAATTGTGGACTAATTCAATTCAGACTCTCTAATTAAGAAAACAGTTCAGAAGAGTGTATTAATATATTATAAAGGGATCTCAATATTAATTTTTATTGGATTAGTTCACCAAGTGTCAAACACGTGTACTCAATGACACCTAGTGTTTTCTTCTCGACACAACTATTTTTCAAATTTTACAAAATGACAATTTTGCCAATACCTTGTATGAAAATCTTGTTTTTCCTTAAAATGAGATTACTACCGACTTTTCACACTAAAAGTCATCTTCTAGCCACTAGCGAATAGATTTAGAGGAGGTCAAAGTAATAAACGATAAACGATCTATCTATGTATAATTTGTCCAAATTTCAAGAGAGATAAATGTAATTTACCTTTATAAAAATAAAATGACTTAACTTAATGAAAAATTCATAAACTTAATAAATGGATAGCTTTGATACGAAATCACGTTCGCACTCTACAAAAAATACTTTCACACATTACTTGTCTTTCAATAAAATTACACAATCTTCAAAATATTATTCTATTCCACTTTTAAAGGAAATTATGTCACTTTTACAAAAGAAAATATATATATAAATAAATAATGGGTTCATATTGATTTTATTATTATTTATCATCATATGTTTTGCATTTGATTGAAAGAATTTCATTCAAAGCTCATCATCTTCTTCTTCTTTTTCTTCTTCATATTGATTTTATTATTATTTATCATCATATGTTTTGCATTTGATTGTTGTTGTTGGTATTATTATTATTATCATTATATGTTTAGAAATTATTTTTTATTTATTTTTTTTTTTTTTGGTACATCATTTGTTTAGAAGTTGATTGGTTTTCAAAGTGCACTTTTAATCAAAGTCCACCTTACTCACCAAAGTCTTGAATCCCACTAAGGCACCATCTCATTATTTTTGCGTGGGAATGGGGCTTAATTAATTAATTAATCTAATACATATAATTGTTTTCACATGAAAAAGGATAATTACATTTCAACTATTGGTTAGATAAATTTGACTTCATCAACGCAAATTAACCAAAAAAATAAATCAAATAACCCAAATTCAACCTGTAATTAAGTACCTCACTTTGGTTTGGTGAAAATAGTTGAAAATTGATCAATCCCTAATTATGTCTTATCCAACCTTTTATGACCTTTAAAACTAAAGAAATTAGTGGAAGTAGAACCATACGTGTGAAATAGTACTAATGTCTTTATAATTAAATGGACACACTATTCAACAACCGCAAAATCCGCCTCAACTTTCACACACACCAATACATTACACTATGTGTTAACAATGAGTTGGTTCATTTTGTTAAGTTCTTTTTCTTCTCTTTTGTATAATCAATCGTTTGATTAATTATGTCCTTAATTATGTTTATCATGCATACTAATTATCAAATTAATCGGAAAAAAAAAAAAAGCAGCCTCATCAATGTCACACTTTAAATAATTGAGAAATATATTTTAATATTCTTCATTTTAAAATTAGGGTTCGAATAATAAGCACAATAAAGTTATTTAATCATATGGGATGTTATTGATGGTGCAAGAATTAGTGTAAATTAATCCTAAGACAAATGGTATATAAATTAATACGTGCGAACGTGCACACATTCTTAAATTAATAATTTATTTATTTTTAATTATGGAATCACATTTTTTTTTTCTCGGCAAACTAAGGGAGGTGTATTTTTACACATACACACCCGATGCTGTAACAACCCTCACCCTCCCAAGACTCAGTATTGTCCGTTTTTTACTCCCTCAGATCAAATATTATGCTTAATTTCGGAGTTCTAATGGATTCACGACTTTAAAACACGTTATGTCATAAAAGGGTGTTTAATCTTACATATAGTACATTATTTTTCCCAAACGACATGGGATCATGACACCCTATAACTTGCCAGTGTAGTAACTTGTCCAATATCTCGCATCCATCCACATCACACCTGCCCACAGAGAATGTTACATAGACGCTCGATCAATTAGGCCACTGAAAAATACCTCTTGTGGAATCACAATTGACAATTCCACTTCTTTTAAGAGTGTAGTACTATGTGATTTTTTAATATTGCTAGTGTCACTATTATTACAACTTTGTGTATCTAGTGCAAAAACCACTTACACATTTTGAAGTACTTGTGTTTGCTCAAAAATAGGTAGATAAACATATGACCCTAATGATCATCAAAATGCTTGGCTACAATTTGTTTTAGGTGAACACAATTGTCTTTTGAGTGGATATTTAGTGGAATATTCACTCTCCATAGTAAAATGCAAAGTGATTGAACCCAACCATATGTCTTGGGTTGACACTACAAAACTATTCTCTTAGATTTTAAAATGTCAAAAACATTGCTCTTCTGTTACAAATGGACACTTGCATATGTGCCTTCACACTATTTTTATTGTACTTTTATCATTGTGGGAAGAAAAATATGGGAATTTACATTCAGCATTACATCTTAAGTGACCTTGATTAGATGATTCATGTTTTCTTGCTAATAAAAAAGGACATAAGCGTGCAAAAGCCAATTCCAAATGATGTTCCATCACTACTAATTGTGTCTCCCCTTAATAATCGATCTTCTCACTAAACCTCACGAAAACTCAAAAAAAAAGGAGACTCAATCCTTTTCATGTACATCAGCTAAAAGCCCTGTTTGGCATACTTAACTTTGGTCACAACGTCATAAACTAATGATCGAATTTCAAACCTAGGCTCCCTAATTAATATTCTTGCCAATAAAAAAGGACATGAGCGTGCAAAAGCCAATTCCA